CTATAATTTCTTCTAGTAATGAATTTTATGTGCATGGACTTATTCACCAAAAAATACTTGGTAGGATTTCCTAGCGCAATAAACTACAGAACTTGACATGGGTAAGCCATTGAAAGAGAGGAAAACATTTAAAAACAAAAATATTTTGCAGGTAATTTTGAATTCTGTCACGTCTGTTTTCATCAGTCCCCTAATGTATCGTTTCTAGTAGATTTTCCAACTTTTCAATATTAAACTTGAGCTTAATTTATTTCCGTTTATGACCTCAAGAAAAATCATGAGTGCTTTCCAATCCACAGCCACAGTGTTGACACAACTTTGCACCACTGAGTGAGTCCGGAGTACAGAAAGAATAACTCACCTTATCTGGGTCGTCTATGAGAGACATATCTACTCAAAAAGCTTAGCAAAAAATAAATCATATATATATAATTCTATATAGATAGATACACACACATATATAGAACATATGTAACTATTATCAAATACTTTAATAAATTACATTTATTAAACAAATAAAGAATATATGCATATAGTCTACCCATCAGCAGTCTTATTACTTCAAATTGTAAAATAAAACACTACAAAAAATGTTCAGTTATTATCAGTCTAAACTAAAAGAGAATATAGCTAAAGCAGCAACAAATTTTGTTTCCAAATCAAAGGCTCTTTACTACATATTCCAATCTCTGTCTAATAAACAAGATTTGTTATACCATATTAACACCAACATCTGATGCAGAACAGTTTACCAGTGAAATCTTTTTTTTTTTTTTATAAATTAATTTTTATACCAGTGAAATCTTTATAAAAGATCAGGCAAATTGGTACCCAAAGATGTCAGATTACTTGATAACTATTTTTAAAGAGTAATAACTATTTTTTCTACATTTCTTTAAAAAAAAAGGATACACTCACACCTAATAAGCAAGTAATGGTCAATTTTATCCCTAAAATTCTAAGGTTTCACTACTACTTTTTTTAATGTGCAGAAAAAAGTATCATGGGTTAATATTATATCCTAATGCTATTTCCTGTTGATGACATCTCTTCTCTACTTCTTCAAGTTGTATCCACATATCGAAGATCTAAAATTTTCCTTTTTGACTGTTCATCTACCTAAAGGTCTTGTCCTCATGAAAAACTCCCAATACTCAGTTGTAGGACTTGGATATGTGACTTCTATATGGCATCAATCCATTTGTGTTAATTATGACAATGTGAATAAATTGTTAAGTTCCTTAAAATTCTTTTTTTTTTTAAGATTTTATTTATTTATTCATGAGAGAAGGCAGAGACACAAGCAGAGCGAGAGAGGCAGGATCCATGCAAGGAGCCGGATGTGGGACTCGATCCCGGGTCTCCAGGATCATGCCCTGGGCCGAAGGCAGACGCCCAACCACTGAGCCACCCAGGTTCCCCTTAAAATTCTTAACTTACTATCGTTTTAAGCTTCCAATTTCTTCACCAAAGTCTTGCTATCCTACTAAGTACATAGCAAATATCACTGTATAAATCTGCATACACTAATTCTTATTTTCAATTCTGCTTCTTATTCTCAAGCCTATTAGATAAGAGAGTAGCCACTAAAAGCAGTAATGCCTTTTTATACCATTGATGTTCAAAGACAGGAAAAATGCATTTGCAACTAATGTTCTGAGCTCAGTGAGACCAGACACTACAACTTATTTATCTTGGTAGATGTATAAAGATTACATAGCACTTGGCACATAGTAGGCACTAAATAAATATGTTGAGTTATCCTTAAGGATTTTCCATTATACCGTAGAAGATCAAAAGATTATTATTATTTCTGAGAAGTCATGTCATTTGAGATTTTACTGAATGCTGAGGACAGAATAAAACTGCCCTAAGGCTTTGAGAAATGCTGTTCCTCTTCTTCCAATATATAATCCAATTATAAATGATGAAGCAATGGATAAATAAATAAATAATCATAAATTCATTATAATGTGGAGTTTTGTTCTAATTAGTTAAGTGTTTCAAGCAGCTATACTATGTTCGAATCTACTCCAACACCTGGATTTTCAGAAGACTCAAGTCCAGAAAACTTCTAAAAAGAAAAGCAATTTCAAAATAACCTCAAAGGTCCAATACTATTGGTACAGAGTTCATGCAAAAATAAAAAATAGAATATTCAAAAAAGGATATTGCATTTTAGAATAAAAAAGCAAAAAAGAAAAACAAATACCATATGGTGACTGGTATAGTGATCTAGTCATAATCACTTTTTTTATTTCTAATTTTTGTTCCAAGTTAATAAGAACTCCCTAATTTATATCAAGATATAGTATGGTCGAAGGGCACAGCATTGCCAATAAAAGAATTAGAATTCTAAATATAACAGTTCATGTTTAATACATACCAATGATAAGCTGCCAGAATATTGAATATAACTTATGAGCAGTGAAATTCACATTTACAAGTCACAGATATAGAGACCAAGATTTGCAATTTTACAAAGTTTTAAGTATACTCCTCCATTCAAAACTACATCAAAGACATGTTCAATCACATGTGCAGTACTATCTTACAATGATGAATGCTGGACAACTGCAAGATGTCATAGGTTAAACACACCCCATAAATATTTGTTCTCAAAATAACTATCATTCACATTATATAAATGGCCAGTGTTCTGAGATTCAGCCTTAGTAGAACACCACCATGTGTAAACTTTGGATGATATCCTCACAAAAGTAATTAATAACCACCTCACACCATTTATCATTCATAAATTTCACTCTCTGGGTAAGATTGTTACATAAACAGGCCCTGGCAGCCAATCAAAGATTCCAAAGCATTAAGTCAAAATTTTATCTCTGGATCTGCCTAGAAGATAGATCCTTTCTTTTACTTGGTTGTACATTATTTATGCTTCCCCATACTTTTTGTAAACGACCTGTTTTTGTTTTTTCCCTTACAAATGCTCATATAAAAGAAGACACAGAAAGAATGAAAGAGACTCACAGATTTCCTGACTGACCTCTTTGCGATTCTAACCAAGAACCATACCGGGAGGTTAAAAGTTTCACTGTAGATCTACCTGGTCTCCAAATGCCTACAGGATAATGAGCCAGAGCAGAACCAGGACTCTTTGCAGTTCCTCCTTATTTATTCTGTCTAAAATAGAGAGTGGAGTGACACATCCTAAGGTACGGAAGCATAGAGACAGAGGTTTGACTGCCTCTCTCTCCATTTCAGCGTCCTCCCTAAGGCAGTAAACACGTTACTTTGTGATGGGAGTTTCCCACACCCCCAGTGTAGAACCTTCACTACTATAAAGCACAATTCTGCCAAAAGGAATGTGCCCACATTTGTTCATTTTTTGAAACGCCATAATGTTTCAGATGAAAACACAGCCTGCCAAAGGTGTCAAATAAAAGAATAACAACGAAGAAACGAAGTGCATCTTTAGACTTGGATTTCAACGCGTACCCTCGCCACCCGTCAACCAGGCAGTTGTGCAGCAACGATCCCACGGAAGCCCCGCCAGCTCGGACAACTCGGATCCTCGCACTTAGCAGCTCCAACAATCTCCACTCTCAGGACCCCAGTGGTAATTACGTTCTGTCTCTGCAACGACCACTGGCAAACCCAACCGGCCGGCGAATGGGCCATGTTAACAGATTTCCAGGTGGTGTAGCAAATGCGGAGCTCAGTTCCTGGAGGTGGGGGGAAGTCCGGGGGGGGGAGGGATCTGGGCTGGGCAGGTGGGCGTGGAGGGGGCTCTTTCCTCACGTTTGGATGGCGAAGTGGAGAGGAGAGGTGGATGTCGAGAGGCCAGACAGCCTAACAACCCTCAGGGCCCTCCCACTTGGCCTCAGAACACCGGAGTACAAATTCTGGAGTCCTCCCCTTCCCACCACCTGAGAAGTTACAGTCTCAGCTCTCGCACAACTGCGGGTGCGGACTCCCGGACCGAGCACCGCACGGGCCGCCCTCCCGCAGCGGAGCAGCGGCTCGGCCCCCGCCACCCGCTCGGCGACGCCCGGGGCTGCCGGCGGGGCCGGCTCGCGGGAGACCCCACCCCGCCCCCCCTCCCGCCGGGAGCAGCAGCAGGACTTACGCAGCCTCCACCCCGACACCGCCTCGGCTTCTTTCAACCCCAGTCGCCAGGGGCAGGGGTGGGAGGGGAGAAGCGGAAGGCAGGGTGGGGGTGGGGGGAGGGGCGGCGGAAAAGGACCCAAACAGTCCGGTTCCCAGGAGCCAGGACGCTAGTGGCAAGACCCTGCTGCACGCACACCCCCACACGAACACTCTCACCGACGCGCGCCGCTGCCCAGGTTCCACGCCAAGTGGCTCCAAGACCGGAGGGAGGAAGGAGGTGGCCGGCAGGAAGGCCCCCGAGTTACTGCGAGCGACCTTCAGAGAGCAGGGGGATGCTCCAGGAACTGCCGAAGTGAGAAAGTCCCAGACCCCCCTCTCCGTCCCCAAGTACGGGCTCCCCTGCCTGCAGCCCCGGTCGCCTCCCTCCCAGCGGGGGCTCGAGAGGCTGGGAGGGGAGCGGGAGCCTCCCGGCCTGGCCCAGGGCCCGAACCCCGGCCCCGTCCAGCCAGGCAAGGAGCGTCTGGCCAAAGACTCTGGGGGAGCAGGAGGGCAGGGCAGGAGCATTTCGCACGCTCTGGCCGGGCTGCTCATTTCTTCCTCGGTCGACACACCCCCAGGGAGCCCCCTTCGCCGACCCGACACGCGCGCACACACGCGCACACACACACACACACACGCGCGCGCGCGCTCGCCCTTCCCACCGTCTCAGGTCCATCGATTAAAACACTAGTTGATTTCTTCCTGATTAAAAAGAAAAAAAAAAGTGCAAAAACTCTTCTCAGGAGTCGCCAGAGCAAAGAAAGTCCGTGTGCAGGCGTCTTCCTATAGTTTTCCAGGAGTTAAGAAAGACGCGGTCCCCAGGGAACACGGGACCGGCACGCCGAGGGGGCGGAAGGTGACGAACTCCTCCCCACCCGCGCGCCTCTCACCTCTTTAAGTTCCTTGGCCACGTCTTTCAGGTCGCCCAGTACTAGTTCCAGGTCCTCCACGATGATCTTGATCTGCTCCTTCACCTTGGTTTTGGAGGCTGCCGGCGGTCCCTCGGCTGGAGAGGACGAGGAGGGGGTCCCCTTGGGCTTGGCGGACATTCTCTGGGGGCAGGCGAGCAGGTCAGCACAGGCGGGCGAGCGGAGGCTGCTGCGCGCCCCCGTCCCTGGCGCTGCTGCGGCCGCTGGCGCCCCGACCCCCCCGCATGGTGGACGCTCCCCGGGCGGCGGCGGGCGGCTGCGCTCGGCGCTCGGCAGGGCGGCCGCGCCGCGGTGCTGCCATCTACTCCCCGAGCCGCGGCGCTGGGCGCGGGGCTGCGGGCGGGCGAGCAGCGCGCCTGCGCCTCCTCCCGCCGCCGCCCGCCGCCGCCCGCCGCCGCCCGCCGCTCCCGCGCACACACGCGCTCGCTCCCGCCCGCGGAGACGGCCGCCCGGCCCTGCGGGAGCCCTCGCCCGGCCCGCCCGGGACCCCGAGGTGCCCTCGGCTCCGCAGCCTGCTGCGTGGGGGGCCTTCCCGCCGCGAGCCGGCTCGCTGCCTCCTTCCTCACCCGCTGGCGGAGCCTCGCCTCCCCCGCCACTCTCCGACCGGGTGGAGAGAGCAGCAGGAGCGCCGGGAGTGGGGTCGGGGCAGGAAAGCGCCCCTCGCAGTGCAGCCGGGACCGAAGGAGGGGCCGAAGGCCTCCAGTCACTCTCCCGGGGACCCACGAGCTAAACAGAGGTGTTCTACTTGCTCGGGAGAGCGCACGAGAGAGCGACAGAATGTGCATAAAGATAACCCCTCTCCCCCCTGGAAGAAGGAAATTCAAGCAATATTTTTGAAAGAGGTTGCTAATCCTGCTCATTCCACAAAACTAATAGCGGATTTATTGATTGAAGTCCCCACACCAAAAATCCCCCCCCCACCCCGACTGTCTAAGTCATCTTGCCTGTACTTACCTGGGACGGCTTGCTTGCTTGCTTATTTATTTATTTATTTATTTATTTATTTATTTATTTATTTATTTATTTATTTATTATTTACCTTTCTGTTTTCATGACCTATGCTGATGTATGTTTTCGGTAGAGGGATAAGAAGTCTGCAACTCTTAGAAGAGTTGAAGAAGAGTGCCTCCAACTTTTTTTTTTCCATCAATTTTTTTTTTTTTTTAAATCTCCATTTCACGTTTTCTGCTACTAAATAGGAAATAACGTTCTGACTGTTGTTGTCAAAAGGACCCAGGGAGGGGAGTTAATAGGAAGCCTTCAGTTTCATTCTCAGTAGGTGGCTCCCATTCTCATTAGCTAAAGTTTTAATTTCCCTAGTAACAAACCCATGGGCTGTTAGCTACTGACCTGGCAGGATGGCTGCACTTTATTGTCTTCAGTGCACACGACTCCAAATGATTATTTTAATAGGCTTTCCATTTTGGTCATGCCTTAGCAAGGCCTTGTTTCTTCCTTCTCACAACTCAGGTTGGTTGCAACAAGTTTCTACAGACCAGAAACCCTTGGCAGTTCTTCTCTTCTGACTTCCTTAAGTCTTAACTCCAAAATCATTGCAAGCCATGTATGGAATATGGGGGGAAGGGAGGAAGAGGCAACAGAAAAAAAAATAGAAATTTAGATATGGTGTCAAAACAATAACAGCACTGAAAAATACATTGAAAAGTCAGAGGACAAAGAAGAATGGTGGAAGGCAGAGGATCCTGGGGGACAATTAAAGAATAAGAAAACCAGTGTGCAGTAAGCAAATTGGAGAGGAGAAAAAAGAAGCAATAATTGAAAGTAGATTTAAATATCATCTGTGGATAAAGATAAATGGTTAGAAATGGCAAGAGATCATATGAGAAAAAAAAAAAAGTGCTTTTCCTCTCAGCTTGAATTTTTGACACTCAGTACCAAGCAGGTGAATACAGAAGCCCCCAAAATCAAAGTATAGTGGTTTGAGGCAAGAATATTGGAGAAGAAAGAAGTAGTATTTTCTCTCCCACTGACAGAACAATACTCTTGTAATATAAGACTATATCTATGCTACTCTGAATCTCCTTCACTAAAGATTAAAAAAAAAAAAACTATTGTCCTATGATATCCATTGCTGGCTCAAAATTGAATCATATTTATTACTCTAAAAAACACACCATCCACACCCATATCATAACTTATTCTTAAATAATAGCTATCACCTATCTATGTCTATATCTGAATACAGTATAGAGTTCATTGGAAGAGGAAAAGTTAAAACTGACTTCCAAACCCAAACTAAGCTTATAGGAGCTCAGCAGTGGTGGCTACCACTATCTTCCAGTTACCACGCAGGTATGGGTAAAATATTCCTAAAGAGGAAACTTTTACAGAGAGAGTTAAAAAATACTGAGGTAAAGGAAGCAGAATGAAAAGGATACAAACACATATATACACACACATACAGAAAGTCTATTTTCTACTATTTTTATCCTATGGGGGAAAAAATCATTCATCCCTTTGGCTCATCCTGGACTCTTTCAGAGGTTCATATATGATGTTTTAAAGCTAAATTATGGGGACCACAGAGCAAAAGTGACACATAGTAAAAATTTCTGATGAATCTGGCCATAAATTTATTTAGGTACCAGAACTACCTACATATAGGTACATACTCAAACCTCGTCACTTACAAACTTAGACACAATAACAGATCTCTAAAAGGAAGTAAAGGAAGGTCTTATTCACAGAAGTGACTGCGCACCCAGCATTTTATTCTTCTGTGTCTTTCTATTTTCTGAGTTTTGCAGCAAGAAGGATTGGATAATTATAGGAGATCATCTAGTGGTTGTTTTTTTAGTTACAAGCACTTATCAGTATTCTTGAGTGTGTGTGTATGTATGTTTGTGTATGTGTAATCTATTGCAATCGATCCCTAATTATTAGCCTGCAGGAAATGTTATAACACTGACATAATCTTGAATTCATAAAGAGTTCAAGAATATTTCCAAATACTTTGTCCCATTTTGGTGCAGTGGCTCTTACTGATTTATTACCTGAAAGATGTTCATTGATTCTCAAACAATGGATGATGTGCATAATATAACATCACTCATAATGGATACTTTGGGTTTTCTTTTTTTTTTCTTTTGCATGAATTTATTTTCATTGTAAAATCTAATAAAGTTATTAGAGAGATTTGAAAAAAATGAAGAAAAAAAAACAATGGCAGCATTACTCTAACCAAAATAGTTTTCACTGAGGATTGTAGGGGAGAGTGGTGAAGGGCATTAGGTGGCAAAAAGATAAAATGTTGTTAGTGAAACACATCAGAGAGAAATAAGGAAAGTTTTCCATATATACATTGACTATTAAATACATGGCATATGTCTGGACAGTGGTTCTTAAACTATGGCATGCACTGGAACTTGTTAAAACACAGATTACTGGACCCCACCCCCAGGGTACCTGATCCAGTGGGTCTGGGGTGAGGTCTGAAATTTGCTTTTCAACATGTTCTCTAGGCTGCTGGAAAGGGACCACTTTCTGAAAATCACTGGTTTGAGAGATGAAAAGAAAACTTCAGGCTGAAAAGAGCCAGAGTAAAACTTAAAGATCATCTAGTGATATTTGTGTTTGAGATGAGAAAACTCAGGCTTTGGGAGGTTAGATGCTATGTACAATGTTTCCCATCTAGAGAAAACAAATTAAGAATTAGAACTCTGTGTGGACTCCGACATTTTGTGGAGTGGTCTCCATTTGTCTGGAGAAGAGCCTCCTTTTTCTTAACTGCTTTGGGCATGATGTCCACCTACTCTAGAAATGCATATTGGTTTAAAAAATGGGATCTCAAAGTTTAAATGGAAGTATTGTCTATTGCAGCAAAGCAGCTCCTCAATAGATACTTGACAAGGAAAGAAAATACTGAATAAAATGTCCTTCTCTATGCGTTTTGAGATTAATTTAACAAATATTTTTTAAATGGCTACTCTAGGCAAGAATCTACACTACGGAGGGTACTTAGTGACTAAGTTTAACAGAACATAGTTCTAGAAGGAACAATTAGGTAATTCCACACATGACTTGAGTATAAAAACTGAGATTACCTCAGAGTATCTCATCTTGTGCTCTTTTCCAACTTTATAGTCAGTTAACTTTACTTGACGTCCAAAGTCAATATATACCTGTGTGGGTTTTAAGAGATTTTATTTATTTATTCATTCATTCATTCATTCATTCATTCATTCATGAGAGGCAAAGGCAGAGACACAGGCAGAGGGAGAAGCAGGCTCCCCATGGGGACCCGATGTGGGACTCGATCCCAGGACCCCGGGATGATGACCTGAGCCGAAGGCAAATGCTCAACCACTGAGCCACCTAGGTGCCCCTGTTTTTTTACTTTTTATCCATGTGACAGAAACTGAACTTTTGCTTAACTCAACAAAGGACATTGTTTTGTAGCCAAACCAAAGAAAGGTAAGGGTAGAAATATCTTTAAGTGGAGTTGGAGCCAGAAATTCTAAGATAACTGGGACTATTTCTTTCTGTTCCTGTATCCTAACCCCTCTTTGTAGATGGCTTCTTTCTCTTAAGCTCATTTCTACATGTTTAAAATTTGGTCACTGTTACATCCAGGCTCACATCTTCACAAACTTTGCAACTAGAAAAGAGAAAGATCATCACAGCAAGCTTCCAGGAGAAGACTTTGATAGGTCTGACTTAGGATATGGACACATCAGCCAATCTTTGTGACTTGGTTTGGTGCAAAGCTTCATACCAGATTTGTGCCATTGCTACAGAAGACATCCATTTGTATACTCATTGCCATGAATATCCAGCAGGTGGCAGTAAAACAAGTTTTTTCCTCCAAAATCTGTATATTATGAGAATTTTCGTAAATAGAAGTAAAGTGTTTTCAAGAAGCAAAGTCATTTCCAGATTCACACGAAGAAAGACACCATATAGACTAGCAATGCTTGGGTGAGCAACGGGTGGTGAGGATGTACAATGACTGGCCCAACTTGGATCAAGTTGCCTACACCAGTGCCCTATTTCTCCACCAAAAAAAGGAGATGTACCTCTGGGAATATAAAAATAACAAGTATCCTCCATATAGACCTTAACTTAAGGATCATATACCTTACTTTTTTTTTTTCCACATCTTCCCTAAGCTAGTTTCACTCGTCTTAGATTGGGCGTTCAGTTTACCCATACCAAGAACCCTTCATCCAGTCCCATCTCAGGGTCCCAGCTTGGAAGACCTCACTCATCCCAGAGCTGCCAAACTGCCCCACCACACGTGCAAGCAATTTTGAAACAATTATGCACTTCACCTAAGCCTTCGCGAGTTTCCACTCATCCTGAATCCCTGGGACTTGTGCCTGACATC